AAAGCAAAAAAAAAAAAAAAAAAAAAAAAAAAAAAAAAATAGAAGAAATAGTGTAGCGTAGACGCGGAATGTATCTTGCCCATCGGGGATCAGTACGATGGGAACTGACGTCGTCGCCAACGCTGTATGTGCACTGTCGATTCTCTCACCGCATATATCAATCTCGAAATTCGATCCCGGCACGTCGTGCCGGCCACAGCTTATGCGAACACGAACGCAAGGATACCGCATAATCCGTAGTATTTATAAATGCATGTATTTTCGTAATACTAACAATAAAGTGTCAGAAAAGTATTAGAGGCGAAACGAGAGTCTCATTTATGGACGGCGAGCTGACGAGATGCTTCACACGTTCACTCACACGTACACACACGCATCCACACACGAACACACAAAACGATCGTAGACCCCCCTATCGTACCCCGGAATCAAAGAACTTCCCTCAATGATAAGGAAGAAGAAAAGAAAGGAAACCAAGAGTACAATTTCCTTTACTTTACTCCCGATACTTAAGTCCCGGCTGGACTTTGAAAGCAGCGCACATTTCTCTCACGAGACCTCCTCACGAATGTTGATCGATCCGGCGACACGAAGCTCCGTCTCACCCGTCGACGCTTTCTTTCTTTCCAGAACGACCTGTGTCATCCTCTATTCGTCTCTAAATGTTAATCCTCGCGGGATTCTTCCGAGCGCGACTAACGGCCGATCAAATGTGTTCTCTGTTCTAGAACGTGTCAAGGATTCGACGGGCCACCACGACTCGAACGAGTTGACCGGTACGACGACCAGGAGCGATCGCACGTGAAATGCTGACGTGCCAACGATGCTTTTGCCAAGGAGGGAGAGACGAGAGTATCGTTGACCGTCGCGATGCGCGCGTCGAGGTGACTTTTCATTCAAAGTGGCACTCTTCCTTCCGTTTCAGGCTTCCACACGTGTTGCGAGTGCAGGAAGACGTACAGGTCGCGGATGGCGTTAAACCGGCACGTGCGAGAGGAGTGCGGCAGGGTCTTGTACACCTGTCCGTTCTGTCACAACATCATGCCGATGAAGTTCAATCTGTTGAATCACCTCAAGAAGGAGCACGGTTGCGTCACTAAGATTTAATCGTGGGTGAAGGAAACCACGCGGATCGACCTGCAGATCGCGCGAAAGAACAAAGAACACCCCAAGAAATTTCATCTCATCCTCAGCGGAATCCTATTATGAGTGGCCTCAAGGATATTCTTTTGAAATTAAAGGGAAAACGTTCCAAAACATGGAACTCTAGTTGCAAAATGTTGTATCCTGTAATCCCGCATTCTCTAAGTAGAAACTTTTGTCAAAAGAGTGTTCCTCTTCTGATGGAAAGGAATAATATCGTGCTTGGAATATTTCCCTTCTGGTTTCAGAAGAATTATCTGGAACTCATTCATAAAAGGATTCCGTTAAGGATGGGACTATATTTTTTTGGGCAAGACTCTGGTTAAAACTCCCATTTATAGAAGAAAATGAAAGAATTCCTGGCGAACAAGACACTCTCTGTCTAATAATACTCTCACTACATAAGGAAAGAATATCATAGTTTTTTCTTTCTTTTATATAAATTCCCTGTTTAAAGTGATGGATACAAAATAATAAGATTATATAAGATTTAGAATTTCCATCTTAATCAATATGATGATGTCGATATGATCATGATTGATTTATACCGAAATTCAGATAGAATAATGTAATCTTATCGTTTTGTATTCATCATTTTAAGCAGGATTCCCTTCAATTTTACTATGTTTCTAATAGTGTAGAAATAGAAATGTCAGTCAGATCTATTTTGCTGAGGAACATTGTAAATTTCGCTAGAAACATCGCAATTTTTTTAATAGCACATCTCAGTTCCCAAAATACAGAGTGCTTCAAAAATATGTCAACACTTATATAGCATATCTTCATATAAGTGTTAACATTCTTAAATGTAAAGGACAATAAGAGTTAAAACACAGGTCTAATAGTGCTATTAAAACTATTAAAAATCTCCAATGAGAAGAAATTTATTAATCATCAAACAATCAAACGCGTTTTGGTCTAACTTCACAGACCATCAGTGATGGTTTAGATGGTTTAGATAGGATAGTGTCAAAATTTTACATAAAGAACGCCTTTTTATAAAAGAATGATTGCGGAGATGATTTTTATTAAAATGCAGACACATGGACTAAATTCTCAGACTGATACTGAGAATTTTGGAAAGTGTTATAATACTTTGCTTGGTTTGACTTGAATTGTTTTCGTCTACAATTTGTACCAAGTAAATATAAACACATGATTCTGTGCTGCTTGCGACATTCGGATACACGTTTATTAGCTTAACATCTCCCTGAAGCTCTACTATCTATTGTTGAGGTATTTATCATTGTTTTTTCCTCAGACTTGGTTTGCTTACTCTATCTTAATACGTTTTTTAAATAATTACACCACAGCACCTTAGTACGTGCGATGGAGTGACCAATCTTACAAGTTATTTACTGACTAATACTTTTGGTCTTCCAGGGAAAGGTTTCTTTGTCTTAATGACTATTTGTATTTATTTGGGTTTGTGCTTCCGATTCCCGTAAGCAAATTTTGTAGCGACAACTTTTGTAACAACAACCTTTGTTATACCGATTATTTGCGACCTTACGTTTGTGACATTTAAATATAATTTGTTTTTTATTTGTAATCACTGAAGATGGTCTGTGAAGTTAGACCGAAACGCGTTTGATTGTTTGATGATTAATAAATTTCTTCTCATTGGAGATTGAATCACTATTTTTAATAGTTTTAATAGCACTATTAGACCTGTACTTTAACTCTTATTGTCCTTTACATTTAATATTGATTGTACTCAAGAAGAGTTTTTATTTCTTTTAGTTAACATTCTTTTCTAAGCAGCCTGCATATAACATATAAAATGAAAGAAAGTTAATTGCTGCAGAATGTTGATCGATTCCTCGACTACAAAATTCTATTTTAACTTTTACTATAAAATTCTCCCCGTGTGTGCATTCTTTCCTAATTCTAGCAGAGTGTAGTGGAAGTTTTATTAGACACACACAGTGAATGTCTTTTCCCACTCCTGATGCTTTCGTCGCGTCACTTGTATAGCTCCCGAAATTCTTGTTACAAGTTTTCCTCGCGATGGAAACGATCACTCTGCCGGACAGATCACACGTTTGATAGTTCGCGCAGTAATTGTTATAATTAGCACGCTGGTCGTTCACTAAGTTGGAAGATTATTGTTAAGTTGTTTAACGTATAAATCTGTTTGCTTATGTCGAAGTCACAGCAAAAAAGTGACACATATTTACAATGCAACACTGTAAAACTAACCAAAGGTTATATTTGATCGCAAAGTTTCTTGCATCTGGCTATCTTAATATCGAGAAGTTTCAGATGTTTTCAACTCCGAATCTTAAGTCAATCGCTTGAACAATTTACGGAACGTTATATCTGTCAGCACTTCTTCACCTAAGTTTACTATCTGAATTGTAAATTCTTATCAACGTTAATACGCAAACGCTAATGTTGTTCTATGCAGGAGTCCTGAAGCTATCGCACAACAATTCAAGATTTGCTTTTTGAAAAAAAATGTCGAGTTAGTATATGTAATTGATTTTTCCGATATGTATTTAAATTTCTATACAATTTTTTTTTATATCCATGAAGACTAAAAAGTTTTGTACACTTATCGACGGACTTGACATTGTTCAACGTTTAATTTAATTCGTCGTATATAATCATAATCGAAGAGAGAATGGAAAAACGCACTATTCACTCTTTTACGTTTATGAATTGACCAATCGCGATCCGATTGTCATTGATGTTACGCGACTAAGACGACGTGTGCGCGCTTTGTAAAGTTCCGTATTTATTTTCCGTGTCTTCGTCTTCAAATTGGGCATTAAACTAACTCGAGACAATGCTCGAGAAGAGCTTGCACAATTGAAAGTTACGAATAAATGCAATTACGCAAATAGTGTTCGTGTATTTCCTCGAAGAACACTACGACAAGAAATCCTTGATTCGCAAGAGATACTAAATTATGATTTGAGTTACGAAATAATAAAAGTAGTCACCTCTACATACATACGTATATACATATATATAGAGAGATGTGCGAAAATATATGCGACTATATGTGATGCTCTCGCCACGACGTGATAGTAATAAGGAAATACTAATGACTCTGCATGAGAGTTCGGTCACCTTGATTGCAATTTTTATTTTGCTTTTTTATTTGTTTCGCGCTTACTCTGTCTTCGTCCTTAACAATTACATAACCCCATCAACGTCGCGACAGCGCGGCTGCACCTGTATACGCGAGAATTATACGAAGAAGATGCGCGTGTGAAAAAAAAATACGTACACACACACACACACACATATATCGAAGGTGCGTAGACTTGCGCTTTGCGCGTGTGCTCTTCTCCTCCGATGTGTTTCTCTTAAAATAAGCGTTTTAACGTGCTGGATTAACAGTTGCTGGATCGGTCGTTGATATTCGACTTCTCGCGCGATTCGATCCAAAGTGGTCTCTGAACGAAATTGAAGAAACGCGAAAGACATTTCGAAACATAGAAACCACCCAAAATTGTCAGTCCATTGGTCTATGGTCGTCGTGATTTTTACGTCGTCATTTCCGTTGTGTTCGTCGATTACTAATTTTCCGTGATGTTGTATTAAATGTCGACGGCGAAATTCAAGTCAGTCGCGAGCACTGTTTCTCTAACCCGACTACTTTTAACACCCTCGGACAGCTTCCGGATGTTTCATCTAAAACCCCCCTCCCCCGAAATTTTGACGAACGTAGCATTTGGAAGGACCATAACTCTCACTGTTCCTCTGCGAATCTCCGCGGAGATAACGGGAAAGGAAAAGAACACCTTGACGAATACCAACGACCACCGACGAGCCCAAACGATTCGTATTAACCGCGCACGTGTGATTTCTCTTTGCAGGCTATCTGCTCGGCAATCTGGTCCATACCTGCAAGACCTGCGGAAACGTGTACATGTATTACAGTTCATTGACGAGGCACGTGAGGGAGGAGTGCGGGCAGGCGCCGAAGTACCAGTGCCTGTATTGCCCAAAGCGGACCAAGTTACGCTGCAACCTGCTGAAGCACATGCGAAAAAAGCACGGCTGAGAGCACCGGAAGTGTCCGGGATCGGCAGGACTGCGACCGCGAGCAAGATCAAAGCCAAATTCTAAACGCTCGGCAATTTTTCTACGACTGTCCTACGTGACTTCGCCGAGCGTACCGCGAATAAAACAGGAGGAGAGAGAAGAAGGGACGCTGAGATCGCTGTCGCATTTAATTGAGATTGTTGGTTCCTCGCCACGGAACTCTTGATTGACGACGTCAATAGTGAGAAAATACACGCCAAAAGTTCTCGCAGAATACGTTGAAATAAAAAGATATGTCCAGAAAACGTATTTTTAACGTGAATTTTTAGAAGTTTTAGCGTATACTTTCTCGCTCCTGACATCATAAGTGATGAAAGTCGCAGCGAATAGTCAGCAGCTTCAGATTCTTATTCTGAGCTCTCTCTTATCTATACACTGAGAGAAAAATTATATTAAAATCAACAAATATTTCTCTGATGGGTGCCATTAACATATTTACTTAAATCTACATTAACATATTTACTTAAATCTGCATTCTCTTTATTTAAATGAAATATTGTTTATCTGATTGAAATAAACAATATTTGGTTTAAATAAAGAGAATGTATATTTAAATAAATATGTTAATGGCACCCATCAAGGAAATATTTGTTGATTTTAATATAATTTTTCTCTCAGTACAGAAGTGTCTGATAAATATGACTTACAAGCCTCCTTGTATGATTGATTTTCAGTCACGTTTAAAGGCATTTCTATCGATAAAAAAAAGAGTACAGAATAAGAGTCGTAATTAATGAATCTTCGATGAGCACTCGCCTTGTGACGATTTTTCAGCGGCCGCATTTCCTTCGTGAGACTTCGAGCTGTAAAATAGTATAAATGTTGACGAGACTGCATACTCCATGCGACCGTGTGTCTCTCTCTCTCAGTTCCTTGTAAATAAACATTTCGAGCCCGATGTGTAGGACCGACACGTATCGTTAATCTCGTCGGGTGGTAATCCTCATTTTCGTTTCAGACGTTTAAATCGAAGTGCCAAACGAAGTTCGGAAAGGAAGTATCGTTGTATATGACTCCGCTCGATCGATACCTTTAATTTCGCGTTAATGCTGTAATGTGCGTCTCTACGATACATAAGTAACGTTTCCCTTGTACTTTCATTTGCGTGAGACAATAACATGCGTCCTGGATTCATGATGGTATTAAGAAGCGAGAAATCGAGTATAACGAGATATATTCTCTTTTTTGTCGTCATGTAAAGTTATTCTTTTCTTTTCTATTGATTATTACTTTCAACGCGTCCAAGAGCAAAATCACGCATGCACGCAATAATAAATTCACTGCTAATGCAGCCAGTACGTTTCACGAGTTTTTTCAACTTGCACCATTTGTGTCGTTTGAACTCCGTGGTATATCTCCATGTTCCATGCAATTCTCAAAGTGCAATACTGTGCCTTAACTATGCAGAGATTAATCGGTCGCTGTTGTCAGTATATATGTCGGTATTGAGAGATCCATAGATTTCTAATGTTCGTAATGCACCATTAGCTCTCCACGATCTCCAGGTCGTCGAGATATTTTCCGTGTAGAAAGAAGATAAAGTTATGTACACGGGGGGAATGTCACGGTTGGGATTAGAGAAAGCGACAGCCATGTTTGTCGCGCGTACCGATCGTAAATCGCTGACGAGTCCATGTGTTGCTTTCTTTTTCAGATAATAACACCTGCTTGGCTTGTATGAAATCGTACAAATGGAGGAAATCACTGCACCGGCACGTGCGCGAGACCCCGGAGTGCTGGCCGACCCTCCTCACCTCCGGAAATAACGAATTCATTCGGCAGATCCAGTACAAGATACAGCTGTCCAACTCGAAAAACACGTGCGGACCGAGAACGATGTAGCGCGATCGGCGAAGAAGAGCGTATCTCAAATTGCGCGAGACTTCTTCTCTCTGTTGTGATTCGGAAAATATTTTTTTATAAAAATAAATATTAATATATATTCTGGTACAATGCGCCGTTGCTTGATCTTACATTCGCCGACGGCATTGTCCACGCAGACAGCGATATCTCGCCCCAGCGATTAATGAGAATTAATAAACAAAACGCAACCAAGTTTTTCTTTCTTTCTCATTCTCTTTTTTTTCATTTCTCACACACGATCTACGCACGACGACGGATCGTTCTGAATCCGTCGTCAATGCCTATAAGTACACTGATCGTAATCCGACTCTCCTCCTCCAATGAAAAGTCTCTCTTTCTCGGCAAGATGGGTACTAATTGTAAAAGTTCATGAAATCTTATTGTAATACGACGATCACCACAGGATATGAATTACGAGACACTTCCACTGATACGATGGTCTTTTACAGATTTCTCATCGAGCCAGCCCCGACGAAATCCCTTGCTACACGGTGGATATCGCTGTGACAACTGTCACAGGGTGTACTCTAAGTCGTACTCGCTTAATCGCCACCTAAAATTCGAGTGTGGTCACTCACCTCAATTCCACTGTCCTCACTGTCCATTCAGAACGAAGAGGAAGATCAACCTGGACTACCACATCGCCCGCAAGCACCGTTTCAACAAGCAGGATCTCGCCTGACGAAGAACAGGGGCGAGCGATTAACTCCGACGGCTGGTATTTTCTGAGGCTTCATCGCGCAATTTCGTCATGTACATATAATCCGAATAAAGACACATCCCACGCTACGACCGGGCGCACCTTAACGTCCACTCTTTACATTTGACTTTGCATTTAATTTGCAAATTGTATATTCCGCGGAGGATTATTCGATGCACGAAGTGCCTTGAGTTTCCAGTAACTGACATGCTCATACTCTGTAGTACATTATAATCATGCTTGTTTCTATGTATATATGTCATATAACACTGCTGCATATTGTGCATCAACGAGGAAAAAAAAAATAAATGTGCCTTCTTTGATACAATCACGATGCGATCATCTATACGTCCGTCAGTTCGGGATTGGTATCTTCTTTTCACCGTCGCTGTCATTCTTTTCTGTCATTCTAACATACGCTATCATACTGGCCGCTGAGAAAATCTCCGTTACGGTTTCACGACGTTGATCAAATCGCACAGTCTCTGCCAAAGGATCCAGTGCGATTTCCTAATAACTTGATCAGTTAAATTGAAAAGCTTATAACTTTTATCTTAACTTGGTTAATTTTAAATGTTAACTTTTAGCTCAAATCAATTATTTTACAATGCATTGACTTTAACTCACTTTCTCTTTTTTTTTTGTACAAGTTAAAAACATTTATTAATGTTGCTATTTAGAATAAGAAAAGTGAAAGATGCAAATAGAATTTTCTTTTCTTTTGAGTGTCAGGGTTCTTCTCTTTGGATCCTGAGCACAAAACAGTGACATTTTTTAATAAACAACTATTTACTTTTTATTATTTCACATAAATTTGACCTACGAGTTAAAAGTTAATTATGCAGAAAACACACACATACGTATATGTATATTGCTTGGCATAATTAACTTCTAACAAATTAATTCACCGTTAACTTAACTTTCAATTATCTAGGTTTTTGTTTGTATAACTTTAACTTAAGTTCATTTTTTACGCCGCATATCAACTCTAATCATAGTTTAATTAAAAAAAAAAGAAACAGATATTAATTCACCTAACCCTGGCAATTCCTCGCTGAGTTCGATCACGCTAAAGAATCATTCATTATCACCCGTCACTTTGCATCTTCATGCGAGCTGCTACAGAAACAATCACTCGGAGCTGTCGGTGATCCTCGAACGAGGTCAAGGATCGATGGCGAATTACAACGTAAGTATCTTCTTTCCATTGGGCAGAGTGGAGGAGAGAGAAAGAGAGATCCCCTTCTCTCACGATCTATCCTGCACTCTCGATACAAAGCCGAAGTCGATACGGAGCCGTGCCAGCGGAAATTCAGCTGGCAGAGACGACCACACATACACGATCGCCGCTCGTAGATCACCAGAGCATGTACTAAGACGCCACTCTGGCACTTCTGTTTCAGATCGTTTCGATGCCGTCAGGTTCACCGCGGTCTTCAAGAAACCCTTCCCCTGCAGACACTGCGAGCGCAGCTACAAGAACAAGAGCTCGCTGAATCGCCACATGCAGTACGAGTGCGGCAAGGAGAAGCAATTCAGCTGCCCGATCTGCCAACGCAGGCTGATTCAGAAGAGCAGTCTGCACAAGCACATGCTCGCCGTCCACGGGATTTAAGTGCGACGGGAGAACGATCGGAGAATGACCCGTTCTCGTTACTGTTCACTCCCGCAATGATACCTTGTTTTTTTTTCTCCTTGCCCGAATACGTCTCTTTCTTTTTTTAACGGAACATCGACGGACGTGGTCTAGTTCGCGTTTGCTCGCTCGGGTGACAACTGAGCGTGCTTTTAATTGGATTAGCAGACCACGTCCGCGTCGATTTATGTATATTTTGCTATATGTAAAAAATACATATACATATATACATACATATATACACATATATATATATATATATATAGATTATAATATTCATGAACGTATGCTTTGTATATGTATGATCGTTATATACTGTTTTGCGTTACACATAAATCTGCTCTGAGTAAAAACTCCTTTCACTGTACATTGTACATTGGTCTAGACTTAACGGTTCAACACACGCCGCGAGATCGTCCTATATCGTTACATCCTGTTTTGGGTATCTTGTTTGGATGGTTGGAAACTGGTGTTCTCTCACATTCGAAGGGAAAGGCTGGAGAGCGGGAGGAGGTATCCGTGATTCGTGAGAATGTTACAAATTCGAGAAGCGGGACGAGGCTTGTCGCTAATAGACGCCGGATGTGATTTTCAGTTCGTCGTTTGGGCGAGACGCGCGTCTCCACACCTTGGGGGTGCGTTGAACGCCTGCGAAATTCGACACAACTTCTTCGGGGCGACCTCCTCTTTTCGTCTCCGCCGTTCCCGTCTCACGCAGTTTTCTTCACGCCTCTTCACACAGACACGAAACCTTTGGCAAAATTTGATCCTGGGCACACCTATCTTCGGGGCTATTGGCTGATACGTTGTGTGGTGGGTTGGTTACGGGTTTTAATCTCACTGATATCTCTTCGCCAATCACATATCCACACGTCGACAGAATGACTACCTCCCTTACTCCTGTCCTCGCGCTCTCAGCGTCGCAATCGAGGCGATATTGACGACCGTCTGTCAAGATTCGTCTTTGAGTTCAGTCATATTCGGCTCGCGGCAAAGCTATTTTACGAAAGGGACCAGTCTAGTACTAATCTAGAGGTCGGAACGCGTCGCGAGGAAAGTAAATGTTACGGAACTTTTCTGCACAAGTGTTGTTTCGTTGGAGTTGTCGAATTTGGTGAATTAGTTTATTTCGTCGAGACAGCTCGAATTAAGCGTCACCGTGGTAAAATAACTTTGCCGAGTTCAACGCGAAACGTCGTGACAAGCATGGTCCCGACGAACGTCGAGCTCGGCACGCGGAATCGACGGGACGCGTCCACGATATCGGCATCTTTCGCACACAAATCGTCGCAGTCGTGAACGTAAGACGTTTACTTTAGCTAGAAAACTAATCAAAGGATATCGCTTCAAAATTGTTCTACGTCTAAAAGGAGATAAAAGTGCAACTTAAGGGGGTGAAACACCTTTGCTGCTGCGCACGTGGAAAACTTAAATTCAAAACCCTGTAACTTTCTTGTTTTTTTTTTAATATTTTATTATGAAATTTGACATGAGTTTACATTATATACCAATAAAAATGTTGCATAAGTTAGAAAACTCTTTTTTATATGGTGATAATGAACTTCTTGTAAAAATTTCTGAAAGAAAGAAAAGGACGATACATTCTTAGTTTGTGCTAAATTCTTTAGGTGTTATCATAGTTGATTTTTTCTTCCTAAAAATTGCGACTGTACTAGTACTAAAGTTTATTTTGCAGAAAAATACTTTTTCTTAGAGACATTTTTTTAATAACTTTAGCTGGAAAAATTACTTCAAAAATCAACCGTAATAACATTCGCAGAATGTTATTCTAAAGATCATTCGCAGATTAAGAATATATTTTCCTTTTCTTCCTTTCAAAAATCTTTATAACAAGTTACTAGAAAACTCATAATAAGAAAGGGAAACGGTTGTTATTCCACTATTATTTTATGTTTCGTTCTTTAATTTATGCAACATTGTTATTAATATATGTAATGTAAACATATACCAAACTTCATAGTAAAATATTAAAGAAACGAAAAAGAGTTACAGGGTTTCAAATTTAAGCGCTTTCCGCGCGCTTGACCAAGATGTTTTACTCCTTAGAATGGAGTCTGAATAGGACTTAAACTGAATAACTGCTAGGATTTCAAATCGTAGTTGCTATCAGCAACCAAATTCCAGAATCTTAGTTACTATCAGTAACTAGGTTTTAGATTCTAGTGTTACTATCAACGATAATCGGGTCCTAATTACTTCCTCTTATTGTCAGTTCTATGTTCCTTTAGAGTACACAAACTTAAAGCAGCATGTTCTTCCTGATTAGTTCTTCAGTTGAAGTTTACGCCCAACGTTCACAGCCATGGTAATTTGTGTGCGCGAACCCCATCTGCGTCGTCCACGTCGCAAAATATCGAAGTCGCGTTCCCCTGGCGATGCCGCGTGCGGAGACGCCGCGAGGACGCCGCCGAATGATGGCAGAGCGATGACAGAGCGATGACCGAGCGAGCGAGCGAGCGAGCGAGCGAGCAAGCGAGCAAGCATCTCTTCCTCAAAGATTTAATCTCCTTACCACCTTCGCGCCTCCGCCGGCGCTGGGTCCTTGTTACAGGCAGCCACGGTCAGATGGGCGCTCTCCTGTCACTGCTGCGCTCCGACTATAAGCAGCAGCCGGCGACGAAGAAGATGCGTTCGTCGGCGCCGACGGTGATGACGCGCTCCTCCATGGCCATGACGAACAGACGCGCCAGCAACAGCAACGCCGGCGACCAGAACAGCTACGACGAGGGCAGCGGCGGCGACCATGGCAGCGGTGGCGGCGGCGGCGGCGGCGGCGGCGGCGGCGGCGGCGGCGGCGGCGGCGGCGGTGGAGGAGGCAGCGGACGTAGCGGGTCGTCCACCCGCGAGGTCGTCTTCCCGGACTCGTTCGAGGTGTTGCCGCAGCCGCACGATCTCAACACCGTCTACATGGGCGTGCCTCACGAGCAACAACGGAAATTCCGCTGCCGCATCTGCGGTAAGGGCTACCGCTGGAAGAGCACGATGCGTCGCCATGAAACGGTAGAGTGCGGCGGCAAGCCACCAGCCTTCCAGTGCCCGCAGTGCCCGTATAAAGCGCGGCAGCGCGGCAACCTGACCGTGCATTTTAAACGGCATCATCAGAAGATGGTTTACGAGGAGAGCGCTTAGGTACGCGGACGCGACCGGCCGAATGCGCTCTCAACGAAGGCTGGAGCTGTAAAGTGTTCTCTGTACCCACGGCGATTCGCATTGTTACGCCGAACACCGCGGCAGCAACGATCGCTACCACCTGTCCTCTTGTGCCGTGATCTATCGAGCGATCGTTCCTCGGGCGCCGTGGTATCAATGCGACTCACCGATGAGGTAGAGAACGATCATCGTGCGAGGTCCAAGCTCTTCGGCAAGCCTCATGAAGGACGCTCTCGCACCTATGATGCCCTCTTCTTGCGCTCTCTTTAACTGATGGCGCACCGTGTGGAATATTAAATCGCATTGAATTCGCGACGTCTGGCCCTCGTGGTCAAAGTACATCAGAGTTTCGGGCTCAAGAGGATCCTGAATACTGACACAATGCTTCGTATTTTGCACTGTTTTCCTATTTGGTTGTGTAGGGTTGCAAATGTTTATATGAAGTTAAATGCTGGCGAATGACGGAGTATATACTTCATGTTGCATACTTTTTTCACTCACAAAATGTCTTTGAATATTTTTTTCGTAATAATTTTTTTGTAGAGTTGCAAATGTTTATACAGAGAGTGAAAATACAAATGTCGACGGAGTGTTACGCAAAAAAAATCTAAGAAAATTTTTATTGACAAAATAAAACAAAATTTTATGGAATTTCTTATGGAATTGCAAATGTTTATACAGTGCGAAAGTACAAATGTCAATGACGGGCGGAGTACTTCATGAAAATAAAGAAGAATTTATTTATACAATTTTTTCATTCTTGATATAACATGGGATACTCCACAAATCTATTAGTATTTGTACTTTCAGTTTGTATGTGCATTTGTGATTCTATGCAACTAAATAAAAGAACTTTGAAAAATACAAAAACTGCACATGTCGGTATCCAGTGTCCCCTTAAAGAAGATAGCTGAAAATCGGTCTTTCTATCTTTGAAACACACGAGAAAAATCGTCAGTCTGCAATGATGAACCTCTCTTAGATGGTATTAATTTAAACAAACTGACTTGAAAGTCGACCTTTAGGCATTTGAGCGACATTTTTATTGAGTTATCATACATAAAACAATCGCTACTGACGTTTCAGTCTTTAGTTTGTCTTAATATTCGGAAACCGCGCACATATACGCGATATTGTCGATCAAATTTACACGGAGGCAAGCTGCATGCAAGAGCTTCCGTGTGTGTAATCTCCCCTACTAGATCTGCTAACATTAATAACTACCACTACTCGCAATCATGGAGAGGGATACATGTCAGTTTGCTGAAAGTTTTTCGACGAGTGCGAGAGCATCTTTCGTGAGAACGGCATCGCGACAATTCGGCACGATCCGAGCAAGTGTACGGAATATTGCTTAAGTATTTTGTAAACGAACCCCTCGAGGCTGTCGATCGAGGATCCATTGGTTTCTGATTCGGTGCGCTCTGCCTTCGATCTTCGCGCGCACTCGAAACTCACACAGATCCGTAATCTCATTTCTGCTCGGAGAAGTGCACTCGGTACGCTAAATATGGCCGTCCAATTCAAAGGTTGTTTCTCGTGACACCTTCGAGCACGCCGCGTACGACGACCACGACGTCAGCGATCATGTAACTTTTCCTCTAGGATGGAAATGTGAAAAGTTTTACGTGAACTCGTGATCACGTAACTCGGCAAAACGTGGAAACGTGAACTTGTTAACCACGAAATGTGCTGGTGAAAAAGTGAAAATCTAGTGACATGATGAATACGGAATATTATGCTACTGTTGTGATGGGATACATGAAACATAACAATCTCAAGGTTATAGGTTATGTTTTAAGGTTAATATGTTCTACAGCCGATGGATAGAGCTGATCTGGCCGATATTAAAATCATATAGGAACCATGTTTAGTGATTTGTGCTTTTCACGCATAGAGTTACTTGATTGCGTGAACAATGAAAAAGTTCACGTGAAATCGATAAAGCGAAAAGTGAAAAGTTACGTGATCGCTGCTCAGATCAGAAACACGGCCAGCCGTATTTAGAAATTCACGGGCGGGCGTACGGGCTGAAACGTTCGAATTTATTTATACAACGATGGGTTATTTTATGATAACACTATTGGCCTAGTTTTACTAGTTGGGGTTGGTGATAAATTAGATAGTTAGTAGCTCGCGTAACTCCATTACTGTTTAATTCGTAAGCACACGCGACGATACTTTAACCGCGCGCAACCGCATTATTCATCATCGAGGATCAGTCTGTCGGTATTCGCGACGCAATTGCAAGTCGCGGTCGTTTTTCTTTCTTGAACAAAGCAATCGCACAAAGTGTCGCCAAGCAGATCTCTTATCGCCGGAAATCGCACCTTATTCCTCAATCCATTTCTCAGGTGTGTTACGAATTTCATATATCTAACACATTTCCCGTGCTCGGATGTTCCTCTTTTTATTTTTTAGACATTGGTCAAATTGGTTAATCATTTTTTCTCGCCTATGAGTTAAATTATTGTGGTCAGAACCCGGGCCTGATTTTATTGGCCTGATACGTTTACGTAGCAAAGTGTTAGATGACAATAATTGAATTTCTAAAAAAGTTTTTTAATATTTTATAAAAGTTTTACTATGAAAGTACTATAACAGCTTTATAAAAGAACTTTTAAGTTTTACTAAGTAAAAGTACAAACTATACAGTCCCGATTCATGTAATCTTGCAATTGCTGTTTTATGGGACTTATCAATTGCACATAAATTATCTCAAAAAATCAAGATCTTGAAATTCAAATACCAAGACAAATTATTCCTTTTTGTACTAATAATAGTTGATCTCGACAGATTCTTCAACATTAATCGAAATTTCGCAGCCAAATTCTTTATGCAATGCTTATAGATATTTTTCTCATCTCGCTAAATGAAAATTAGCATCAAATACTTCGTTTAACACTAGAATGCCCGATGGAACTATTTTGACTCCTTTAAGATTTTGTTGTTGTCGTCATTTCTGTAGTTTTGGAAAAAGTACTCTCGTGACTTTTAATTACTTAAAAAAAAAAACATACTAAAAGAGTAACGGAAGAGATCGATTGTAATTAATTGTTTTAAGATTTACCTTGTGTGTGGGTTACCTTATTCATTATATTAAGTTTATATTTTATTCTGCATCTCTATTCAGCAATCACTTTGTAGTAACAAACATTATAACATTTTGGTAATGTTGGTAATATCGGATCATGATCGAAATTATTATATATTATTATATATCTGTTTAAAAATATTATACACGTTTGACTTTTTATTACAACATCTTCTTAATTATGGAGGCCAAGTAAGTTATAATTGTGATGCTTCTCTTACTATAGAAAATTATAAGTTTGGAAAAATTATGAAAATTGTTGCAATTTGTTTGCAATATATAAAATATTTATATTTTGCAATTGTTTCAGTTCAAAAGTTATCATTAATACGAATGAATGAGGAATAGGGAAAACTTTAAAACGTTACAATCGCAAGAGGAATCAAAATGACTCTCTCAGACACCCGAAAGGGACTGTCGTTGCCGGGCATTTTAGTCTTAACACATGTATTGTGTATTAAGCTAAATATATCTACGGGTAATATTTGATCGCGTCGGTTGAACTATCTTCTGCGCGCTCGCGAAAAAGAAATGAAAAGCACAGACGCGTCGCGTGTCGTCAGCAAAAGAACACGATATCATGATGGTGATATGAATGGTCACGGAGAAGGGAAAGGGAGGGGGGGGTAGTTTGCACAGCATAAGATTAGATAACATAAGCGAGAGAGCGATGACGTCTCATCGACAGAATTTTCATCTTCGAGCCTCTATCGATCAAACCGAGCGATACACTCTACTTCGAACTCTACTTCGAACGACCGACGAGAATCTCCAAAGTGCCTTTCACGAGAAATCGACGGCCGGAAATGCGAGCCGGAGTCGCGCTGAATCGTTCGCTGGCGGCGACGTTCGCGGAACCGTTTCCGCCGGTGAACCGCGGTTACCTGAGATCATTTAGGATTACGATAGACAATAATTATATCCGTTCTTCCAGCTTCGCGCCCACGATCGCGGATGCGAGTGTGAGAATCGTTTCGAGAACATATTTATACATTTTGGGGTATGTACCTTTCGCACACCGGAAATTCATTGCGCATCCTAAGTACTTCCAACGGGACGGGAGGGACATGCCGGCGATGGATAAGGGGCCCAATTTTTTACTAAATGTAACGTCGTATCTACGGCCCGTGTTAATAGCTATCACTTGAAACTTGTCTCGATTGAGACATTCAGGATCGGTTTATCCAACCTCTTGCTAAGCTAACTAACAGTTAAATCTTATGTCTGTTTCTATCTAATTTAAAGGAGAAACAAAGACAGACGTATGAGTTAACTGTTAGTTAACTTAGCAAGAGGTTGGAAAAACAGGCCCTCAGGCTCGTATTAATAACTGTCACTTGAATTCGTCTCTCTCAAGCGAGAACTTAGATTTCAATTCAGAGTTAAATGAGAGTTTTTCAGTTTTCATGTCACACTTGTCATAATTCAACTGAAGGACTTGGATCTGAATAAAAATCTGAGTATCTTACGTGAGTCAGGTTTCAAGTGACGACTGTTAATACGTGCTTCAGATTTGTATTTAGAGGTGGGTGAGAGTTCTTCAGTTGAATCACACAATTACAGATACAAATATCGTCTCAAGTGATACTTTCAAATTTGAATTCAAAGGTAGATAAGAGTTTTTCAGTTTGCAAATTTCAATCACACATATTAGTCACAACTGAAAAAGATAACATGCAACTAACTCGACATAAAAATCTGAGTATGTTACACGAAACAAGTTTCAAGTGGCAACTGTTAAGCCTGATCTATAATATGCTCTCTCTATCATTCTTTTTCTTGTCTTCTATCTTTTTCTGGCTTAAAGCTTAAGGTTTGAGTCAGAAAGAGATAAAGAGAAAGAAGCAGGAAGCAAAGAGCATATTGTAGATCAGGCTTTAATACGAGCTTTAGTGGTTATTACTTGAAATTCGTCTCAAATGAGATACTCAGACTTGAATTCAAAGTTAGATGAGAGTTCTCCAGTTGAATCACGATCGCAGATATAAATGTCACATATTGAAACTCAACTGGAAAACTCGTATTTAACTTCGAATAAAAATCTGAGTATCTCACATGAGACAAATTTCGAGTAATGACTATTGATACGCGAGTCTGTGTAGCGATATAGAAATCCATTCCAGTTCTGATCGGATTAATCAGTTATTTGATCTATACAAGGTGATGTTATCGAGTCCTAATTATTAATAATCATGATTGATAAAGTCCTTTGATTGCCACGCTGTGTTATATTAGGAGCCAATGATATCACTTTTTGCATAAACTAGACAACTGACTGGGAATAACTTGATCAGGATCGTGAGGTCGATTTCTTGTCGAGTAAGTGACGAATAATGGAAACAAGGGAGAAAGAAGGGGGGATGAAGAAACGATTTACGTTATCATCCGACAAAGTACAAAGATACACATTTCGCAATCGCCTCGCGCGTGTCTCAATCGGCGTAGGAAGTTTAGTAACGACGGCATAATCGACCTAGATAATTATTTTACCGTACTTCTTGCTTTTTTTATCGCTCTTTTCGAAGACCAATATTTTCTCTTAGGAGCTTAACGCGAGAGCAGCACGTATCTTAATTAATCACGATCGTGTTTGGAACGTGATCCTCGATTATCGTCTACTATTTTTTCGCCCGTAAAGCAGGTCGCAGCGTAATTCCGACGAGGATTGCGATGATCGGAGAACACGGCGATCACATTTTATAATGTTAAGCACCACTTGTACCTTTATGCGACTTCACGCGAGCGCAGCCTACGAGAGGAAGGCTCGACAATCACGAAAGCGGGTCGATCTCGTGATCCTCGATGTCCTAGCGAGCGCCTTATTCAGGCTCTAGACCGGCTGTATCGTAGCAAAATGGCGACACCTCGCCGTCAAAGAGAAGATAGAGATCGTTGTCGATATTATCTTCAAGATTAATATCTTTAGGTAACAGGTATATATGTAAGATCAACGCGTTCGCGGGCTGTAGCTTAATGTATCTTTCCTGTCAAGCTTACGAAAGTATTTAAATGTCGAAATCGAAAGCAACGAACGACATTTATGAGCATCTAATTATGCTGGGCGACGTTCTTTAACTTTTACATTTAAGGAGAAAGCAAGAAAACGAAACGCAAGAGCAAAGAGAGTGAAGCGACTTTAAGGAGAAGTAGACGCTAAGGAAATAGTGGTAATTTTACTCGAAGAAAAATTAGGATAAGGGGATTTTAGCATGAAAAATTTTCAACAATTATTGTCAGACGTAACCCTTTCAAGACGGGGGAGATAATTATAGGGAAGTACGTGTTCTATGGGTTTTTGGGATCGTTGAATCCGAATCTGAACTTAGATTTTTAAATTTCTGTGACCTAAGATGGCGAATCCAATATGGCGGAAAAAATTATAAATAATATAAATATCACTCAATTTCCGTGAAATTTGAACTATGAAACTTTTTAGAGAACTGAATCGAATATTTAAAATTCAAAATGCCGACCAAGAAAAAACATGTTTAGATCTGATCTGATCTACTAACTAAAGTTTGTGTGGTACTGATGAACTCCAAGAAGAGCGAAACTGGAAATTATTCAAGATTTTCACTAATTTAAATTTAGAGAGGATAAAGTTCCACGGAAATTGAGTCATGTTTACATAATTTGGCATCTTGAAAATCGCCATACTTGATTCACCATTTTGAATTTTACATTTTTTACTTCAAATTTGGAAAGAGCATCCCAAAAAACCATTACGTACTAATT